ACATTTTAACTTTTTGATATTAAAATGTCCAAACATAATTTCTCAGCAACCTTAACAACCATTAACAATTTGATGTATTTGCTAAAATAATCCGAGTGTGATGACAAATCCAAGCCTCTTTACGTGATTTAAATTCAGAAAACTATAGAGCATGCTAACTGACTGCAATAAAATGCATTCTGGACAATTTCAGATTCCCCTTCTCCCACCAGAGGGAAATTTCTATACAGTAAGTTCAAAGACAAGGGCCCCCAAACAAAAATTTTAGAAAAAGATCCCTAGCCTGCAAAAGAAAAATATTTCTGACAGAAAGGCCCTTTATTTCTCCATCACCACTTCAGTCTCGTAGGACCGTAGGCTGTTTAAATATATAAACTATACTTTTCTTCCTTGATCCCATTCGGGATGCCTTAACATAGTGGAAAGAAAGGTTTGATGTGAAGGTTGGGGTGGGTATAGCGATTTTGGAAAAAAAATTTTTTCAAGTTCCCCAACAGGTAATCCACCTCCATTAACTGATCACACATTCATATGTATGAGTGCTAGGAAGGGCTAAGTGTTACAGTAGCTATCTTTGTATAGTAAAATTACAAATAATTTCTCTAATGTCTCCGTTTACGTGCTGACCAAGTATTTCATTTGTCAAAAGAAAATCAAAATTACTATAGAAGGATAAAACTAGTAAACAGAATATGAAAAACCATTTCTATTCAAGTTAGCTGTTAAGCTAACATCTACATGTTTTCATCCAACATGTGATTAATCTACCAAGGGTTCTCACAAAAAAAGAATCCACAGTAGAGAAGGAAATAAGACATTTTACTATATTGTTAATGCTAAAAAAAAAAAATGATTTTAAAAGGCTGGAAATAAACAGCAAGCACATAAACCATTCATTCTGTGAGATGATTCATTCAAAATCATTTTGACCACACAAAAGTTATCCTAATACACTGAAAATGTCAAAATCTGAAATGTGGTAAAAATATTTTCCTTGTCAAACAATTTTTTCAGTGCTGCAAGGTTAGTCATCATTTGTGAATCTTATACACAAAAATAAAAGTGACCAAATGTTTTTGCAAAAGTAATTTCACTCTAAGAACCCACTGATAACTGAAGATATTTATTCACATACAAATTCACAGCTAAATAGAAATACTAAATATTAAGAGCACCAGGGTATAAAGAAATTAAATTCCAAAATTAAGAACCATTTAAGAGATCAATGATTAAAGTAGATTATTCAGGATTAAGTATTATTTAGTAAAGTACAAAACTTTATAAAACCTTATAACAATTCTGGCACATAGTTTTCCCTACATATTTTGAACTCATTTGGCAAAATAAAAATCAAAACATTAGTGAGTTCAGTGAAAATGGTGGAGTAAGAAACTCCAAAGCCCATCCCTCCATAAAAGCAATGAAAAAACTGGCAAAAGCTGTCATAATCAACTTTCTGGAAACCTAACTAAAAGCTTGCAGCAACCAGAGGAACTCTTAATCAATAAAAACGGGAATTTCCTAAGAATAGCAAGCTTTGTGGTATTTTAACTTACTCTAGTCTCATCCCCTGCTCTCCCGCTCAGTGGTAGCCTTGAAAATAAGAACCAGTACTAGTACCTGAGGGAGCAGAATGGGCCTCATTCTCAAATAATTGTAAAGATTTGTTTTGACCTGTCTGGTGGTGCTCTAAAAGGCTCAATCAAAAGATTTGCCTCATCTCATTTAACTCTGAACTCACCCAGTGCTAAAGGGGCCAAATCAAAAACATTTACAGGCAAATGTTTTAGTCACTGCTGCCTGAGGCAATGGATAAAAGTTGGACCAAAAAATAGACTAACCAAAAAGCTTGAGAGGAAAGGCTGGAGAATAAGATGGTTTGGGGAATAAGGGCTTTGAAAAGTTCTGACATATTCCTTGGGATCCAGAAGTCCACACAGATGCTGTGCACGTGCTTAGGAAAGACCTGAAAAAGCCCTAAGTTCTCACCTCTGGCTGATCTTAAGGCTCTGTGGAAGCAGGAAGTGAAGGCTAAGGTAGAGATGTAAGCTGTCTCACTGAGTGTTGAAGGTGTGCCCAAACACACATACACATACCTCTGCAAAAACTGAGATGTTTTTGGTTCCAGGCATTTAAGGTAATCTGTGTAATGATTAGCTAACCATTAAGCTAATGGAATGCACACTTCAGAGGTCACTAATGACAAATACAGACTTTACAAAATCAGTTCAGAGAAGTCCCTAAACAACCAACCAACCAGCAGCAACAACAAACCCCGGGCAGGGCAGAATTTTATTTCCCAAAATGCCATATTATACTATTCAAAATGTCCAGTTATCAACATAAAATTACGAGGCATGCAAAGAAAGAAGAAAGCATGGCCAACAGGTGAAAAAAAAAAAAGAAAGTCAAAAGAGCATGAAAAAAGCAACCAGAAACTTTCCATGATGAAGCCTAGACATTGGTCTTAGAAGATAAAGATTCTCAATCAGGGAACTTATTAACTTTAAATAAGTTAAAAGAACTAAGAGAAACCATGTCTATAAAACTGAAGGAAACCAGAAGTCTGATGTCTCACCTAAAAGAGAATACAATAAAGAGATGGAAATTACAATAAAGAATCAAATAGAAATTCTGGAGTTGGAAAGTACAATGACTAAAGTGAAAAACTCATTAGAGGGGTTCAATAGCAGATGTGACCAGAAAGAAGAGAAAGAAGACCAGAAAGAATCAGCAAACCTGAAGATAGGTCAATTGAGATTGGCCAATCTGAGAAACAGAATAGAAGAATGAAGAAAAATGAACAGAGTTGAGACCAATGGGACACCATTAAGCACCAACCTTCACACAATGGAAGAACCAGAGGAAGTGAAGAAAAAGGGACAGGAGTATTTGAAAAACTGATAGCCAAAAACATCCCAAATTTGATGAAAAACATTATACATCCGAGAAGTTCAATGAAATCCAAGTGAACAAACTCAGAGATCCACATCAAGACACATACAATCAAACCGTTGAAAGCCAATGATAAAGAGAGCATCTTGAAAGCAGCAAAAAAAGAAGCAACCCCTTATGTACGAGGATCACGGATAAGAGTAACAGCTGATTTCTCATCAGAAATCATGAAGGCCAGAAGGTAGGGGGATGCTCTACTCAAAGTGCTAAAAGGAATTTAAAAACAAAAACAAAACAAACAAAAAAAACCTGTCAGCCAAGAATTCCAATCTGGCAAAATTAACTTTCAAAAATTAAGGCAAAACAGACATTCCCAGATAAACAAATACTGAGAGAGTATATCATTAGCAGACCTGCCCTTCAAGAAATGCTAAAGGCAGTCCTTCAGGCTGAAATGAAAGGACATTAGACAGTAACTCAAATCCATACGAAGAAATAAAAAACAACTAATAACATAAGCAGATATAAAAGATGTGAATCCATTATTTCCAATGGCCTTTAGAAGTCACTTAGAAACTGCAAAAGGGAAGCTAACATCAAAAAGTATTATTCATATATCAAAATTAGGAATGTTTACACCCTGTTTTAAGAAGACATCTGTGATAGATAATAACCACAACCAGCTTTATACATTCTTGTCTTTAATCACTTCAAGTCTAATGAGAACAGCTAGACACCACTTTTATAGTCTACACCAAAAGGCACCATTCTGAGAGTTTTATAACCTGGAATTACTAGGTTTTTCACATCAGTGAAGGTCCATAAAGATGCTCTTTGGAAATATCTAAGTATTTTAAGATAAAAATTCAGTCCACCTTAAAATGCTTAGTTTAGCAGAGTCAGTTTTACATTAAACATCTACAAATTCTGGCATTTGGGAATCAGAATCTCACTGTGTATCAATTGTTTAAGTCTAACAAAACACCAGGATGAGTGACAGCAAAAAGAGCACACAGCACTTAAAACCAGCCACTTGTTTAAAAGGCCAACATTTTTGGAAAGCTCTAATTAACAAATTTGTAATTAACAAATGTAACTTAAAGTAAAAAGATGAATCACTAAAAACCATTTCCTCAGATTAGAAGGGACAAAGCTGCCTGAATAAAAAGAGTTCTCAGATGTTAAATGTTCCAAAATAGCAAGAAGGACTCTTAAGGAGCTTCACATTTCAACAAGTGACCATTCTACAAAATCTGAAACACCATAATGAGAGGGAGGAAATTAAAATAATTTCCAAGATGCTAAGAAAGTTGATCACATAGAAGGAGACAGAAGAATGGCAGTTTCCAGAGGCTGGAAAGGGGAGGGGGAAGGGGGAATTGTGACAGGTTGGTTAATGGATACAAAAGTACAGCTAGATAGGAGGGATGTTATCTAGTGTTCTACAGCACTACAGCGTGACTGTAAAGTGACAACAATTTATTGTATACTTCCAATTAGCTAGAAGAGGTGAATTTGAATTTTCCCAACACAAAGAAATGACAAATATTTGAGGTAATAGAAACAAAATCAGGGTTGCCAGGGTTTCAGGGGGGGGAGGGATGAACAGGTGGAGTGCAGAGGATTTGGGGGCAGTGAAACTATTCTGTATGACAGGCAAAACACATAGAACTGTACAACATAAAGAGGAAACCTAATGTAAAACTGAGTTAATAATAACATATCAATAAATGGACATGAAAATCAACTACCTTGTATACTGACAAATTAAAATAAGAAAATAAATAAAAATAACAACATATCAAGACTGGATCATAATTGCAACAAATGTACCGCACTAATGTAGCATGTCAATAATAGGAGAAACTGGTGGTAGTGGGGGGTTTATAGGAACTATCTGCACTTTCTGCTCAATTTCGCTTTAAACCTAAAAACTGCTATAAAAATAAGGTCTATTACTTAGAAAAATAATTTCCAAAAAAGGATTATTCTTTAAAAGACTATTAAATTCAGTAAGATCTGTCCACTCCTATTACCAAATCAATAAATATTGATATTTTTCACAATCAACCAATCCCAAAAAGGAAAATAACAAAGACATTTACCTCTTCTAGGCTAGGGAGCGAAGAAGAAGACACTGTTCGGGATGACAACGGATGAAATGGCTCTTGACCAATAGCATGTTGGTGATTTTGTATTTGTACAAAAGGGTTCTGTGGTGGTCTGTGAGGCAATGGAGGTAGGCCATAGGGAAAACCGGGCCCCATTAGGTGATTCTGTTGCAAGTTAGCAAAAGTCCATGCTCCATCAGGTGCCAGGTATTTCAAGGGAGGAGGGGCAAGGTGCTCAGATGGCAACGAGAAAGGTGAGCTGAAGATCTGGGGCGGGAGGCGCTGTGGAAATGCTGGGCTGTTGGCTACTTCAATGTCTCTGCTGCTGTCACTAAAGTTAGAAAAGTTGCTACTGTGGTCTGTATTGGAGGGGGGAGACGGGACTGCTGGTGGGCTCCTAGTCTGAATTTGTCTATATTGCAAAAGTCTTGATTGAGGTGGTGGCATTTCAGCAAGTTCCCGTGTTTCACTTTGATCACGATGAGACAGTTCTCTGATTAAATCTTGAAACCTGGATGAAGACAATGAAATATGAGGAGAAAACCAAAGAAATCACATTAAAGAGAGCTTAGTCAACTACATGTATAATTTCTACAACCAAAACCATAATACTTAGCATTAATTAATCTCAAATGTAAGCATTAACACCCAATAGATGCTGAGCTGAAGTCACTAAATACGCCCAATTACCTGATTTCTTTCTTTTCCCTTCACATTAAAAAACACCTCTCCTTGTCTCTACATGCCTTTGATAACTGGAAGTTATAAAAAGCCACCATGATGGTGGACCTTATTCAGAAAGGATTAGGAAACACACACTTCATAGTGTTCATATGACATGGGCCACAAAAGCAAGCCCAGAGTCAGGATTGAACACTCATAAGCATCTGTAGTTATAAGAACGTAGAATTCTGTGCTACTAGAAAAAGATTAATGATAAATTTATAATTTTTAATTTTTAACCTCTAATTTACTTCTGTTCTTATTCTTTACTCTTATTTGTAAGTAATACCGCTGAATCAAAAAAAACCAACACGCACAGTGATGGTACTTTTCTCTTGCAGAAGAGACCACAAAGCAAGCGGCCAGATTAACTTACAATGTGTAGCAGATCATCCATGCCTAGATTTGTTCATGAGTTGCTTCTAAATGAATTCTCTATATTTTAGAGTTAATCAAGGGAATTTTATAGCATGTGCCTAGTGTGCCAGCATCCAATTTCTTTGAGACAATAGTCCAACTTAAGTTAAAAGGACAACATTCAAGAAAGAGGTGGGAGGTCATGTTTCAGAGGCTCTTTTAGTCTGCTGAATACCTTGAGTATGTTGTTTCTGCTTCCTCTTCGGCACTGCTGGTGAGCTTCCAGTCTGCCCTCACTGGCGGCTGATGTAACCCAATGGGCGGCTGAGGAAGATGCTGGAGGTGAGGATGGTGATGGTGAGGGTATGGAATACTGCCCTGACTCAGATAGGCATGATGCTCATTCCACTGCTGTAACCGTGCTTGCTGCTGCCTTAACGTTTCCAGAGCTACACTCCCATGTATACGATCTGCAAAAACATGTGTGAAACAGTTAAGTTTCTATGCATTTGGGGTTTCAAGTTAACTTTTTCAAGAGTTTTTACAACCAGATTTTTTCCACAAAGATAAACAAACAGCTGTAATTTGGTTTAAGTAGAAAGTAAATGTTTTCTAAATTTGCCAGACACCAGAGTTATGATCATGATGATGATTCTTCCTTATCTATATAATGATGTAAGCTGACATCAACTGGATACTTAATATTACACAGCATTCAGAACTAGATTCTGATTATTACACTAAATGGTTGATCTTTGCTGGCATTATGTGAAGAAATGAATCAATCCAAACTAACACTGTATATAGTACATGTCATTTTAGGTAAACCCTCTCTGAATTTTCCACATCTAGCAGTAACAGGAGAACTTACCTACAGCCTCCCCTATAGATATTCCTGGGGGGTTCTCCTCAAGGAAGTTACTCAGATGCGAAGGAAGAATGGGGCCGGGCTGTGCAACGGCTCTCAGAGGGCTGTGGCCTTCTTGCAGCATGGGAGGGGGCTGCTGCTCAGGAATCACAGCCTCTGCAGGGGGAGACTGTGGTCGATGCGAAACTGCATTATTAAAAAAAGCACTGTTGGGTCCTGCCTGATATGCAGGAGAGAGCTGAGGAGGTGGCTGCTGAGTCTGCTGATGCAACTGATTTTGCTGCTGGACTACCTGATTTGGCTGGGATGGCATTTGATTTGGTTGTTCAGGCAGATTACTCTGCTGCTGATTTAACAAGGTATGCTGCTGTGGAATGGGAAACGGTGGTCTTGGTAGCTGGGGTAGTGGATGAAAATGGCGATTAGGGATTGCATACTGTGCATGGGGAGCAGGAAGAGGAAGGTTCACGTGTCTTGGATTGAGATTATCTTTGCGAGGAAATTTGGTATTGGGATAAATAACACCAGGACGTGATTCAGGACTTCGGTTCTGTGGATTTGACTCCAAATCAACCTAGGGGAAAAAAAAAAGTCTCTTTTTAACTGCAGAATATCTGAGTTCAGTGGCTCTTCACCTTTTCCTAACCCTAACCCACACATCCAAAGGATATGATACATTCTTATCAGCAAGAGCAGGAGCGCTGGGTGCCCAAACAATCACTTTCTGATAATCAAATAAGGTAATATTTTTTAAATTATAAAAGATGACACAGAAAAAACAGCATATTAAATTTGAGTCATAAGATACTGCCATTTTATTTGCATATCCACTTTAATTCCTTTAAGAACATTATTTTTAATTTCACACTTCCTTCCTTAGAAAGCCATTTATTTCCTTCTGATATAAATCATTAAAATCTGTTCTTTCCTTCTGGTTTTATTGTGTTTATATACCTAATCTATTTCTTCAGACACATCTATATAAATAACAAAATATAAATAACAAAAATTTAAATATAAATAACAAAATTTGTCCTAATTTGTCCTTTGAAATGAACAAACAAATACTATATCACCTTTGTATAACCAGTTTGGTTGTCAATTTCTGCCATTACATATTGACATTCTTTCCTTTAACAAACATTTATTGAGAGCCTATAAGTACACTGTGCCTGGTTCTGGTGACTTAAAAAGCAACAATAAGAGTTAGTTTATACCCTCAAGAGCTTAGAGCAGGGGTCTATAAACTATGCCCCCCCACCGCATACCATTTCCAGCCACTGAACTTCTGTAAATAAAGTTTTATTGGAACACAGCCACACTCATTCATTTACATATCATCTATGGCTGCTTTTGTACTATAATGTCAGAGTTAAGCGGTTGCAACAGAGACCATATGGCCACAAAGCCTAGGATTTACTATGTGGCCTTTTACAGAAAAAGCTTGCTAATCTCTGGTTTACAGTCCAGGGGATATTAACATATAATTAAAGATACTGTAAGAGGATGTGATATGAGATCCTAGTGCCTGAGAAAATTAAAGAAGGCTTCATGGACACTGGGGCATTTGAGTCAAATCTTACAAAAAGAGCTAGAATATTTCAGGGAGGGAAGGACATTCTAGGTAAAGATAACAGCTTGTGCAAAGGTTGAGAGAGGACAAAAAATATCGCAGATTTGGGGAGCATGAGAAGTTTTGTGTGCACAGAGCTGTAACTCCACTTGTTTATGTGTCAGTTTCCCCTTCTTGACATCAGATGAAACTGCAAGCTTCCAATCACACAAGATCCTGAATGATTCAATACTTCGATAAATGTTGATTTTAATCCTTTGTAAGCTGTGGTAAGCTAACAAAGATTTTTAAGCTAGGAGTGTTGTCATCTTTCTGAAATGCAAGTTTGATCATAAGAGTTAACAACATAAAAAATGAAATATAGAGTAGCAAGGGGCAATTTTTCTTTTCCAGCCCTGTTAAAATACTCAATGACCCTGTTTTGGCATATCAGTCTCCTTACAAGTTTTAATGTGGAAATAGTCACTGAGGGCTGCAGAGTACTTGCCTCAACAAAGGCTCTCAAGTTAGACATGGAACTGACCACTCCCAAGGAAACAGAACAAGTAGCTTGTTCCTAAATTGAAGCTGAGGTATACTTGGTGACCAAGCTATTGCAACAAATGGTGTAGTGTCAAACATGCTCCAAGTGCATTCTCATTTCTATTTACCTCGCTCAAATGGACTGCCATTAAATTTGGCCAATTGGTCCTTAAGATTACTGGGTGAACATAAATTATCTAGAGTAAGAAATGAGAAGGATGACAACTCAATGCCAGTCTTCGCAAGCAGCTGCAATGCCTGCTTTTCAAACATCTAGACCCTGATTAAGATTCTTCATAAACAAATATTTCCCCCCATAAATCGCCATCTTTTTGATGACTGAAGTTACATTCATCTGAGATATACTTTCTTCCAGAAGATATTGTTGATGTACATATTCTGACTGCATGAGGGAGACCATGATTAGATGTTAAAGTTGCTTGCGAATAAGCCGCTGTTTTAATTGCCTCCATCATTTCTGACTTGGACATAGACAGGAAGCTAGGTCTGTGTCACAGAAGTTTAGATCAAGACTGTGCTACTGTACGATACTACAATGGGCTCACTAAGCAGGATAGCAGACTGTACGGTATGAAGGCGCCTGTGCCTACTACTACCAGAATTAAATCGGAATTAGATTCTCCTCTATCATTTTCTGTTTAATACAGAGACACTGAGTCAAAGAGAGCTTGGAGCTCTTTTTTTATTTTTCCTGGGCCCTAAGACGAAGCATCACGGTGGGAAAGAAAATCAAATGTTTCTATCAGGTTACCTATTCCTCTAACAGAGACAAATCATAACAGAAATTTTAAAAAGGGATATGAGAGAAACTTAGCTGTCTTGTCTTCAGTTGCTCTGACAGCATCTAAGACTCTTGTGGTCAGTTTTGTCCCAAAGTGGCCTCTGCCTACATCTGCAGCAGGTGCTGCTGCACAATCCTAATGTGCCATCGTTCTCTCTCTGCACCCCTTCCCAAACACGTGCCACTTCTCCTGCCACTGCAGCTCCCCTCTTCCTCTACCAGGAAATTCCCCCAGCTGCCTCATTTGCACTGCAGCTCCTCCACTGGGAACTGAGTCCTTCCAAATGTAGAAACTGTGAGTCTGAGATGCTATGGGACATAAGTAACCTAATATAGAGAACAGCTGCTTAAAGCAAGGTTGAGGGTGGAGTTACAGATTTGGAAGTCTTTGCTGTGGAGTGGATACTTAGAATCATGGATTGCACTTGTTTATAGTAAGAAACCATTGAATGCAAAGAGATGGGACAATGACAGAACTCTGGGAAACTCCAATTTAAGGACTAGGGACAGAGGGGAGGGGTGGACAGGAACTTATGAAAGAGACAAAAGGTATGTTATAAAGAATTGCGAAAAGCAGAAATATTGTGTCAAAGAAACTCACAGAAACAAGATAGTCAAAGATGGAAGTAGTAAATAGTGCCAAATACCAAAGAAAAGTCAAGTAAGACCACAATTAAAGTGTGTTCATGGGACGCGCTCACTTAGAGCTCAGTGATTTCAGTGAAGTGCTGAGGCCTACTGCTAGACTATGTGGGTGAAGGAGCAAATAAAAGATGAGGTAGAAAGGAGAAATTAGGCAGTAGCTACAAAGGAGATAAAGGTCAGAGAAAGTATCTTTTTTAAAAAGTCTATCAATCAATTCACCTAGTTGAGGCTAAAAGAGATGTAAATACCTTACAGGCTGAGGAGAAAGAACCAGCAGCTGGAAAGAATCTAAAAATAAATGAGGAAAAGTGACAAGGTCTGTGAGGTGACCAAAGAGAGATTAGTCTTAATAGGAACTCTTCCTCTGAGACTAATAATAAGGAATTAAAGATGTTCAAGGATACAGAAAAAGTGATGTTTAAGATAATAATTAAGAGGGTGAAATCCTGATGACCTAAGTTTAAGGCAAAGTCATCCCCTGATAATAAGGATAACAGAAGGTGGGAAGGTAATCAGGCTCAAGCAGAGCCACGGAAAAAACTGGGCAAAGGGAGCGAGGCACATGTAAAGAAATGTGCAGGAGCCCCGCGGGTTCTGCTGAGATCAGAAAACACGAACTTCCAGTAACACTAGTTCAACCAATGATCTGATTTTCCCTAACGGGTTCACAAGCACAGAAGCAGAGAAAGTAGATGAATGGACAGACGGAGTTAAGGATTTACACAGTGGGTGTGATGAGAGAACGAGGTGAGGGATCGGAGGAGGTCAAGTCCTCCCCTGGAGGAGGTCAAGTCTTCCTTCTTCTTCACTCTAACAGCGCTTCTGATTCTGAGATAATTTTCAATGACACTTCAGTAGCTCTGTCTTCATTTATACCTACCTTATCATGGAAAGTCTCTAAATTCAAGTCTATCATTGAATAACAGAATTAAAGAAAAGTATACTGTAAGAACATAGCTAAAGAAAAGGTGGAGGGATAGAGGGCAACACAGCCCACTAGATCCCTGTGAAACAACAAACATAAAAGATATACATAAAAAGCGAGATGCTTTTCTTTAACACATCAAGATTCCAAGATGACCAATCAGACCAAATCCATTAGAACAACGCATTCACTAAACGTGAGCAGCATACCTGTTTTGGTTCTGTAGGCTTTTTCTCTGGTGTTCGAATCTTATTAATTTCAGGTCCAGGATTATTTGAATCACTTTTACCTAAGAAAATATTTAAAAATCCTTATAAGCTTTATCCAGTGGACGTGACATTTCCAATGACTATCCAATATTAGACAAAGTCGCAGAATGTTTTAAACTCTTTTTACCCATTATAATCAATTTATATTACTACTGGGGTTTTGTTCTTAAATTTTCAAAGTTGCAGCTTCTCTGCAAGAAAGAAAATTGATAAGTGAAGCAACCTCATTGACAACACAAAAGCTTAATAAGGGAATAACCTTATAACATCAAATAATTCCAAAGGAAATTACCCAATCTCCAGGAATTTACAGACTCCTTTTCTTTAACTAGACATATGAAAGGCCTTGGCATTCTTGCCTATTTATGAAGCCTCAATGCTTTGGTCATTTACAAACGTAATTAAGCAAAAATACAAATAATAAGTCAGTTCAATTTAGTAAAGGAATCTAAACTGAATAAAGATATTCTGAAAGGAATGTAGCTATACAGTTTGAAAGTAACAGATATCAAACTAAATATAAGTAGGTGATAAATAGTAAAGGAAGCAAAAATAAGGTTTAAAAAAGCACAATTATAGTAGACAAATGATTTCATCTATGTGAAAGGCTTTTAATCTATAAGAATTAACTGCTGGATATTTTAAGTTCCTTGACGAAATCCTTGACTTGGTTTCTTGTTCAAAAACATTCTTTAAGGAATGCCACTGGAACTTTGTAAAATGAATCATCGTGCCAGAATAGCCTTACCACTGAACTTCAAGAAATGAAAGCTATAATGTCTGAGATGAAAAATATACCAGATGGAATCAGCAGCAGAATAAACACTGCAGAAGAAAACTAGGGAAACTTGAAGGCACAGCAATAGAAACTACCCAAAATGAAACAGAAAAAGAAAAAAGAATTAAAAAAAGAAAAACAATAAAAAGAACAGCCATGCGCTGTGGGAAAACTCCAAGCATTCTAATATATGGGTAACTGGAATCCCTGAAAAACTTGGGTGTGGCAGAAAAAATATCTGAAAAGATATAAAGGTTGAGAATTTCCAAACTTGATGAAAACTATAAACCCAAATATCCAAGAAGCTCAACAAACCTCAAACACAAGAAACATAAAGAAACTACACCAAGGCATATCATAGTTAAATTGCTAAACCCAGTATAATAAGAAAATCTTTCAAGCAGCCAGAGAAGAAAAGACACATTATGTACAGAAAAACAAGGGTAAGTATGACATCAGATTTCTCTCTGAAATAATGTAAGCAAGAAAATAGAGCATCATTAAAGTACTGAACGATGAAAACTGCCAACCAAGAAGTCTACACTCTGCAAAAATATCTTTCAAAAATGAAAGTAAAATAAAGACATTTTCAGACATATACAAACTGAAACAATACATCATCAACAGACCTGCACTACAAGGAAAGTTAAAAGAAATCCTTCAGGCTGCAGGAAAATTATATCAGATGGAAAGGTGGATATACAGAAAGAAAGAAAGATTACTGGAAATGGTAACTATATGGATAGATACATGAGGTTATTTTTCTTATTATCTAAAACTCTTTAGAGCGAGTGACTGAAATAAGACAAAATATGGGGCTGTATATACAACTACATGGGGTCTCTTGGTCCAACATTTTATGTTACATGGTCTTTTCCAAATTAAATTGTGTTGGCTGTCTTTATAAAACAAACAGAAAACAAAATTGCAACTCTTTAAAAAGATACTTGGCTGTTTAAGCAAAAATAACAATAATGTTTTGGTAGTCTATAACATATGTAAAAGTAAAATGCATGGTAACAATAGCACAAAGGCCAGGAGAGAAAAAAAATTGAAATATCGTAAAGTTCTTTTATTGTACATGAAGTAATAAAATATACATTGGAAAGTACACTGTGAAAAGAAAATTATAAACTAAATACCCATATAAGTCTATGCTATCACCTTACCAAAATAGAGGCAAAGGCTGTATACTGAAAACTTTTTTTTTTTAAGGCTGAAATAAAGACTTAAAAAAAAATGAAGAGAGATATACATTGTTTACAGATCAGATGACTAAATATTAAGATGTCAATTCTCCCCAAACTGACCTAAAGATTCAACACATCTCAAAATCCCAACTTTTTTGTAGAATGCCACAAGCTGATTCTAAAATGTATATAGAAATACAAAAGACCTGGTATAGACAATTTTGAAAAAGAAGAACAAAGTTGGAGAACTTATACTCCATGATTTCAAGACTTTATAAAGCTGTAGTAATCAAGACAACATATTTGTTATAAATATAAATATATGAACCAACAGAAGAGAACAGAGTCCACCTATATGGTCAATTGATTTTTAACAAAGGCACCAAGGCAATTTAATGAGGGAAGGACAGAGTTCTCAACAAGTGGTGCTGGAACAATTGAACATATATAGTCATGTGCTGCATAATGATGTTTTGGTCAATGACAGAATGTACATATGACGGTGCCCTTAAGAGTATAATGGCTGTACCATACAACCTAGGTGTACAGCAGGCTATACTATCTAGGTTTGTGTAAATACACTCTATGATAATTGCTCAGCAATGAAACCACCTAACAATGCATTTCTCAGAACATCCTTAAGCTACATGACTGTATATGCAAAACCAAAAACATAACAAAAAACATCTCAATTCCTACCTCACACTACACATAAAATTTAAGTATAAAACTTCTAAAAGAAAACATAAGAGAAGATCTCTGTAATCTTAGGTTAAACAAAGATTTTTTAGACACACATCAAAAACACAGTCCATAGAAGAAAAAAATAAACTGGACTTCATAAAAAAATAAAAACTTCTGCTCTTTGAAAAGACACCGTTAAGAAAATGAATAAGCAAGCCATATTCTGGGAGAAAATATTTTCAAAACATGTTATCTAATGAAAGATTTATATCCAGAATGTATAAAGTACTCTCTTATAACTTTCTAAGACAATGAATTCATTTAAAAAGTGGGCAGAAGATATGAATAGACGTTTCATCAAAGATACACACACAGCAAGTAAGCGTAATGAATAGATACTCAACATCATAAGTCATTAGAGACATGCAAATTAACACCACAATGAGATACCATCAGACACTCACTAGCAATGGTAAAATAAAAAAGACTGACAATACCAAATGCTGGTGAGAATGTGGAACAACTGGAAATCTCATACATCACCAGCAGAAATAAAAAATGGTCAGCTACAGCCACGTTGGAAAATAATATGGCAATTTCTTATAAAGTTAAATATGTATTTACAATATGCCCAACAATCTCACTCCTAGGTATTTACCAGAGAGAAATAAAAACATATGTTCACACACATACTCATAGCAACTTTATTCATAAGAGCCAAAAATCAAAAATAACTCATGTGTCTATCAATCAGCAGATGGATAAACACAGTGGTGCATCCATATAACAGAATACTAACCAACACTAAAAAGGAGCAAACAACTGACATGTACGACCTGAAGAAATATCAAAAACATTAGGCTGAGCGAACAAAGCTGCATAAAAAACTATATACTATATGATTCCATTCATATGACATTCTAAAGAAAAAAATTATAGGGACAAAGTCAGATTAGTGTTTGCCCACGTGACTGCAAAGAGGCGTAAGGGAATTTTTTGAGGTGATGTAAATATCCTGTATCTTGATTTTGGTGGTAAATAATCCTGTATATTTGTTAAAACTCATCGGGGTACATTTAAAAAGAGTAACTTTTGCTGTATATAAATTATACCCCAATAAACTTGACTAAAAAATGCAGAAGGTAATATTCTTTTCTGTATAATTCCAGCAGATGTGCATAAAAAATAACTACTCCATATCAACGATCCCACAGCAACATTAATGCTTAGTATACCACAAAAACATTGTGGTTTAACAAAAATGTTTAACAAGAGAGGACTTTCCATCTCAATTTTAAATGACTATTATATAAAATACACTAAGCATTAAAATTTAGTATATTTTCAAAAATTTAGTGGTACCAATCATGAGTGGTAGGGTTTAACCTGAAGGACCCTCTGAGATCACATGCAGATTTTTTTATCTGTGTACATATTTGTATCTGCAGAGAAGGTCCATAGTCGTTAGATCAGATTCTCTCTCAAAGGGGTCAATAATCCATGAAAACAATCATTCTGTTAAAGGAACTTTCTATGTGGATAAAACTGCATGTCATCAGTTTAGGAAGAGGAGAACAGCAAAGTAACTTACCATTTCGATTTTGCTCATGTTGATCCTTCTCCTGATGCTGATTTTGTGGCTGCCCTATACTGACAGGTGGGTGATGTCCAAGGCCATAAGGTATAGGAGATCCCCGTCCATGTGTCTGTAATAGGTTCATATTATAGGCCATTGCTGCCTGATGTGTAATAATTCGAGGATCAACTGCAAACCTACCCTGGTATCCTGTCCACGGTACCTAGGTTATTTCAAGAAATAAAATAATTGCATTAAGTATATTTTGGAAAGCAAACTGCTTTAGTGCTTTTGATTAGGAAAAAGCAAATACACACAGAGAGATGTTAACCTGTCAAAATGAGTTAACTACAAAATCAGTGCTAATAGTAGCAATTGGTAGAATTATTGCTGTGTCTTAATTTACCAAAAATATGGCTTCCTGGCCGGCCGGGTGGCGCACTGCTACAGTGCGCCGCTTGGGAAGCGCGGCAGCGCTCCCGCCAAGGGTTCGGATCCCACATACAGACCGGCTGCCGAGGTGCGGGAGCAACATCGAGGGTTGTGATTCCGTTGCCGGTCCCAGTCCGGTATGGGCGCGACACTGAGGGTTGTGATCCGTTGCCGGTCCCGAAAAAAAACAAAAAAGGAAAAAAAAAAAAAAAAAAAA